TAGAACAGTGTCTGCCATCCTGAACTCAGATATTTTAAGGACCCAGATGTATGAACAGATAATTACAAATTGGACCTGGCTCTGTCTGAGAACATCAGGTGATGGGACTCACTATCTGACAAAACAATGTGGTTCATTATTGCTGGGTTACAGTCTGACCTCCTTCATTCCTTGGGCTGCAAAGTGCTCAGACCTCCATGAGGCCAAGGGCACTCCGAACCTGCAGCTGTCCCACTTGGAAGACCAGCCTTATATCTGCATCTTTATCTCCTCCTCCTGGGCCTGGCTTCTGGAGTCTGCAGGGGGTGGCCTCTGACCCTTCACTTTCGGCCCTTCTGACACGAGAAGACCCTCGAGGCATCACAGGACCCCTTTTAATGTGTTTATCATAGACAAATGGAGCAACTGGCACCAATGTCTGACTTCCATTATTTCAAACAAAATGAAGTCTGGCCATTTTTCATCAGAAAACTGTTATGATTCCACTCATATAAAATATCTAGAATAGGCAAGCTTATAAAGACAGAGGTAAAAGTTTACCAGGGATCAGGGGAGAAAATTTTTACTAGGTGGGTACAGAATTTCTGCTTGGGGCCATGAAAAATCTTGGAAATAGATAGCGGCGATGGTCGCACAGCCTTGTGAATGTAACCAATGCCACTGAATCGTACACTTTAAACAGTAAAAATGTCAAATCTTATATCACATATATATTTTACCACAATTTTAAAAAGCATAAAAAAGTAACCCATGCTTAGTCTTAAAACATTTAAACACTGTAAAAATCGAGTCACTTTAAAACTCACATATTCCTCCAAATTTTTCTACTTTATATTCACCTTTATAACTTATTATTATTTTAAATAATCTGGGTCCTCTCCATGTCATCCTGCCCCACAATTTCAAGGATTCTTGTCTCCTGTCTTCACTGGATGTCTTCAGAACCTGGTACACAGTAGGAGCACAATAAAGAGCCATCGACTCTTTATTTGAGCTTCAGCGAAATGAGAAAACCCCCGTGTCCACAGCCTAGAGATCTGGGTGCAGCCTTGGCTCTGGCCTTCACTGGCTGTGGGACCCTGATCCGCTGCTTGGCCTCAGTATACCTGAGTCTTACCTGCAAAATGGGCTCAAGAAGTATTTTCACATGAAGATGTGGATAAGTCGATCCTCTCATTCAGTGCTGGTGGGAATATGCGGTGGGATAGCCACTTTGGGAAACAATCTGGCAGCTCCGCGAAAGCTTAAATATAGAATTTCCAGGTGACCCTCTAGATAGGCACCTAAGAGGAATGAAAACATACATCCACACAAATCCTTGCACTCAGGTATTCAGAGGGGCACTATTTACAGTAGCCAACGGGTGGGAACAGCCCAAACATCCCTCCACAGGATGAACAGATAAACATTGCGGTCTATCCACACAGTTGAATATTATTCAGCCACAGTCAGAAATTCAGTTCTGACACAGGCTACAACGAGGATGAACCCGGAACACATTTCACTAGGTGAAAGAAGCCACATGCAAAAGAACACATATTGTGTTATTCCAGTCGTACGAAAGCCCAGAATTTAGTAGGTTACTGGTTGCTTGGGGCTCAGGGGACAAGGGACAAGGGAACGGCGAGTGAGATCTAAAGGGTACAGGGTTGTTTGGCTTTTTTCAGGTGACGAAAATGTTTTATAGTTGCCTCTGATGATGGTTGCAGGCGTCTGTGAACGTACTAAATTGAAAACCATTGAATTGTACACTTTAAATGGGGCATTGTATGATATGTGAATGAAATCTCAATAAAGCTATTTTTTAAAAATAGTTTTTGCTTCTGAGCTGGGATTGAGGAGAAGCTGCGGGCCGAGGGCGCCTCAGGGTCAGCTGACAGCTGTCTATCCACCCGAGTAAACTTGAAAGACTGAGGAGGGAGGAGATGCCCAGGGAAACAGCGCCCATAGCTCCGCCCAGAAGGCTGAGGTCAGGTCAGTCCAGCCCCAAACTAGTAACCATTTCCTTTATATCCTTAAAGAAATGGGCTGTGACCTTAATTTGTGGCCTGAAACCACAGAGGTTTCCTTTGTGGAATCTCCCGTTTCACATAGGAAGTTTTTTTTTTTTTTTTTTTCAGGGTTTTTTTTTTTTTTTTTTTTGAAGCAAGCACAGTGGCTTCTGTCGCCCTGAGATCTGGCCCTAACCCTCCTGGAGGCCCCCTCTCCTCTCTGCACCACTGGCTCTGGCCTGTTAATCATAGTCCCCTGAGACTTTCTGCTTCACCCATGTCACCTTCTGGACCCGGGCTGGCTCTGCCTTCATCGGACTCATTTTCACTTATTTTCCTTATTTCCAAACATAGTTCCATCCGCGGTCCTGTAGGGCAGGGCTTTATCACACGGATTGGAGGGGACACAATTCAGTCTCTGAAAGGAAGTGTGACCAGGAAGGGAAGGCAGCTAGTAAAGGCGCTGTTAGGGCTGGTGAGCCCCAAGGGCAGCTGGTACCCCGGGGAGACAGCATAGGACGTGAAGGACGTGCACCTGCTGGCAAGGGAGCTGGCGATTTTTCCATCGATGCCCCACCCCCAATCCCGTCAGCCACTGCTGAGGGCTGCCCCCTGGAGGCATTAATTCTCAGGTACTTCTCCCCTGCTCTGTGCAGCCTCCAGGGAAAACTGTCTGACGAAGGCATCTGGATATTGGAGCAGAGCCTGTGAGGATCTCAATGGCAAGGTCCACGGCTACCAAACTCCTATTCATCCCTCAGTTTTCAGCGTCACCTCCACAGGTAGACTTCCTTGATTTCCCCCACCCTTTTTATACATGCTCATTAAACCTAGGCCTATCTGATCCAGAATCTGAGTGTTTAGTCCTATGCCACAGTTGTCCCCAAGGCCACATCAGGAGATAAATGACCACTTCTCTGAGTCTTGGTTTTCTCGTCTGCAAAATGGGAGTGGTGGACCAGTGAGAATAAAGCCGGGCTGGATTCACAGCACAGGGCTGGGCCTGGCCTGAAAGAATCCCAGGTCAGTCCTGCCACCCACTGCAGGGTCTGCCATCTGCCTCGGGAGAGGTACGAACAGGATGGCTATGAGCACAGGGCTGGACTCTCCTGGGACTGGGTTCAAATCCCAGCTCTGCTACTTACCTGCTATATGGCCTTCAAAAGGCGACCTCACCTTTCTGAGCCTTAGGTTGATTTATTGAGCAACTATTATGGCAGGCTCTGTTCTAGGACTGGGGACACGGGTGTCAGCAAGGCAGACAAGCGTTCCTTCGTGTCTGTAGCTGACATTCCCCTTCATTGCGGTGGCATGGGGGAGGGGAGAACATGGGGTGGGGTGGCGACAATAAATATGATGTATAATATAACGTGAAATGGCAAGTGGAGAGATGAGCCATACAGGAAAATAAAGCAGGGCAGAGGATCACTTCTACTGAGTGCTCAGAGGTGTCTCTGGGGACATGGCCTTTAAATAGAGACCTGAAAGAGGAGTGACAGGGGAGCCCTGTCACTTCATTCCAGGCCGAGAAAACAGCAAGTGTAAAGGCCCTGAGCTCAGTAGTGTGTGGCACAAGGAGGCCCGTGTGGCTAGAGCTGAGTGAGCGAAGGGGGGGAGAGGGAGGGGAGGAGGGCAGGGAGGGGACGGGGCAGATCACACAGGGCCTTGTGGGCTGCGGGGAGGACTTGGGCTTTTACCCTCAGTGATGTGGGAGCCACGGAGGATTCTGAGCTAGGAAGGATGTGTTCTCACTCGGGTGCTCACAGGAGCTCTCTGGTGGCAGCAGGAAGGACAGAGTGTGGGAGGTGAGGGCAGAGATTACCGCCCTGGTCCAAGTGAGCAATGAAAGAGGCTGACCCAGAGTGGGGGATGGAAGAAGAAGAAGAGAGAAGTGTTCAGATTCTGGCTAGATCCCAAAGGTAGAACCGACAGGCTATCTGTTGGGGGCAAGGGCACCTCCTGTATCTGACAATGATCAATTACAGGAACCGTCATGTCCTGCCCCACCCCCTATCTAGGGAAAGCTTTCGATCACGTTATCACACACTCATTTGCTTTCACCCAGCACATGCTCAGAGCAACGCAGGACATTATCCTGAAAACTGTGGCCAACCTAGTAGCTGAAAAGTGGTCTCTCATTTAAATCTGCATGTCTCTGCTCATCAGTGAGTGTGAGCATCTCTTTGTAAGCTTGTGCACCTTCTGGGCTTCCTCTAAAAAAAACCCCAAAGAACTATTAAGGCGTGATTGACATACAAAAGGCTGTAACATTTAATGTATACAACATGACAGTTTCGAGTTTGGTGGGCTCCTCTTTTGTACATTACTTGTTGCTGTTCTTGACACATTTTCTCTATGGGGGTGGGGGCTGTCCTGTTCTGGTGGATTTGCAGAAGTTCCTCCAGGCTTGGTTGGTTTCAGACCTTGCAGATGTTATCACTTATAAAACAGGCAACTGGAGGGCATTTTCGATCAAACACAGGTCCCATCCATTTTGCCTCATAGTCCCTCTCAAGTCTGCCCACCTCTCTCCACCGCCAGCCCCTGACTTTGTTCCTTCAGGCCGCCACCATCTCGTCTTTGTCACCTCCAGTCTTTCCCATTCCAAATAACCCTCCACTTTAGATCCAGGGCAATCTTTCTAAAACAAGATTTAGAAAGTCTGGCTGCCTCCCTCTCCTGCTCCAAATCTTCTCATGACTCCCCAGTGCCCTTACGATAAAGTCTGGTTAGATCCCACCAACTTCTCCAGTTGCCTTTCTCTCCAGTTTTTATCTCAAAAATGGTTCAATCCCTCTTCCTCTCTCTCTCACTCTCTTCCCCTCTCTCCCCCTCTCTCTGAATCTCTCTGTCTCTCTCTCTGTCTCTGTCTCTCCCTGTCTTTCTCTGTTTCTGTCTCTCCCTGTCTGTCTGTCTGTATGTCTGTCTCTCTCTCTCTCACACACACACACATACACACACACAAACACACCCGCCTCTTCTCCGGGCCTCTGCTCATGCTGTTCCCACCTGCCCGACTGCAGCACAGTCTTCAGGTCTCAGCTTAGACGGCCCCTCCTCTGAAAAGCCCTCGGCTGCGTCAGACATTGCTGCGCATGTGGGATCCCCCCATTACAGCCCCGATTACAGACTCATCATCGCCGCATCCGCTGTCAGCTCCAAAACTCCAGAACACCCCTAGAATTTCCTCATGCTGCCCCTTCGTAGTCAGCCCCTCCCCAGCCCAGACACACGCGGATCTGCTCTCCCCCACTGCAGTTCTGTCTTCCCGAGAGACATATAAATGGAATCACACAATACGCAGCCTTTTGAGTGCCTCCTCTTTCACTGCAGCATGAAGCATTGAGCATAAAGCTTTGTTGCCTGTGTCAATAGCCTGTTCTATTCTGTTACTGAAGGATGTTCCATTGTAAGGATGGACCCGAGTTTGTTTTACACTCACCCATTGAAAGACAGTTGGGTTGTTTCCAGCTATCGGTGATTATAAATCAAGCTGCTATAAACATTTATGTACAGGCTTTTCTGCAAACGTAAATCTTCATTTCTAAGTATGCAGCAGTGGAATTGCAGGGTCATATAGTGGTTGCACGTTTAGTGTTTTAAGAACCACCAAATTTTTCCAGAGCCACTGTACCATTTTTGAATTCCCACCAGCAGCAGCATCCGAGGGGGCCAGTTTCTCCGCATCCTCCCCAGCACTTGATATTGCTGGTGTTTTCAGTTTAGCTGTTCTAAAGCTGGCATTGTGAGCCGAAGTGCAGGCTTTGAACCCAAGCATCTGAGCGTCGTAACGGCTGCATGGTGCTGCCTCCTTTTCTTGGCAGAGCCATTTTCTAGAGCTAAAAGAAGCAGCTGGGCTGGGAAAACTAGGTTCATCTAGAAGACGGAGTTTCGCTGAAGTCATTGCCGCCTGCTCCAAAAGGTTGCGCTCAGGAGGAAATGCCACAGGCAGGAGGGCGGCATTCGGGGGCAAGAGGTGGCTCTGTCCTCAGACCCAAACTCGACCACTTGTCAGTTGGGTGGCCCGAGGCTCGCTGAGCCCTAGCTGCATCATCTTGTGAATGTATCTTGGAGCTGTGGTGTCCCCTGGAGCCGTGGCCAGCCAGAAGAAAGTTCCAGCAAAGTTCGCCTTAGCCCCTCACAGTTGACTCACTCTTGCTCTTCGACAGTGGAAGAGGCGTCACAGGGACCCCGATGGAGAAACAGTTATTTCAGGGAGCAGTCCAGAGGACTTGGGCGGCTCGCGTGGCCTCAGTTTCCTCAACCACCAAAAGGGATCGAGAATATGATCCCATATTGCAGCCTGAGTAATGAAGGATATGATGCCTTCCCAGAACGTTATTCAGCAAGAAAAAGAAAGAAGGTCTCAAGTCATAAAAAGACACGCAGGAACCTTAAATGCATATTGCTAAGTGAAAGAATTCACTCTGAGAAGACTACATGCCGTTTGATTCCAACCACATCACATTCTGGAAAAAGCAAAACTATGGGGACATAAAAAGAACAGGGGCCTTGTCTACAGCCATGCCACCCTGAACAAGCCCAAACCCGTCTGATCTCAGAAGCTAAGCAGGGTCGGGCCTGGTTAGTACTTGGATGGGAGACCACCTAGGAAGACCAGGCGCTGTAGGTGTAAAAAATTAAAAAAAAAAAAAAAAAAAGAGATTCTAAGCTGACAAGGTCCTTGCAATCTATGAGGTCAACCAAGGGTTGCCTCCCTGCCCAATAAATAAATAAATAAATAAAAATAAAAACAAATGAACAAACAAATAAAAGAACAGTGGTCTCAAGGGTTCAGGGGAAGGAGGGTTGACTAGAGGATTTTTTAGAGCAGTAAAACTATTCTGTATGATACCACAATGGTGGATACATGTCATTATACACTTGTGCAAACCCACAGAATGTACAACACCAAGGGTGAAATCTAACGCGGACCACAAACTTTAGTTAATAATAATGCATCCATTTTGGTTCATCAGTTGTAACAAATGTACCTCACTCAAGTAAGACGTCATAATAGAGGAAAGTGTCTGGGGGAAGGAGATATATGGAAACTTTCTGTATTACTTGCTCAATTTTCTGTAAACTGAAACCTCTCTAAAAAATAAAGCCTATTCATTTAAAAAAGAAACAGTGCCTCTCCTTCTCTTTACCCCAGCCTCACTAGCCTCTTGGAGTTCTTTGAAGAAGATATCTAGAAAATCAAGTAAACATGAGTGTATACGTTTTCCCCTAACATTTTACAAAAGGGGGCTTCCTATACACACCGCTTTGCACCTTGTTTTCCTTATTCCAATCTGTTCCATATGTGCTACATAGATGTTGTTCTCATGGTTTCTTTTATTGAAACATAATTCTCATTCTTTTTCACAGCTGCATAGTATTCCACTGGACAGAAAGAGTAGAGCCAGCCCTATGTGCATAGCCATTACCAATCCTGGCTGTGTAGTCAACACGGCCACTTGTCCTCATTGTTTTCCATGTAAAGACTAGATTTTTAGAAGTAGACTCTCTAAGTCCAAAGGTTCATGGGTTTATAATTTTGAAACATCCAGCCTATTTGTCCTCCATTTCACATTTACTTAAGGACACCTCTGCCAGCGACAAATGTGAGAATCAGATCTTCCTAAAATAAATCGGAAGGCATCCCTACCTCGCCCTTCACCTCCGCCACTGCTCCCCACTGGGCTATGCCCAGGCCTCATGGGAGACCATGAAAGACCTGGGCCTGCAAAACCATCACCCTCCAGTCTCACCCTCTCCTCTCTGCCTCCCACAAAGGGAACTTCTCCTTCTCTTCTCCATCTTTACCTTGCTAGCCCCTCTGCCCAAAACTCCATCCCTTTCTGATTATGCCTGGTCAACACCCACTTGAATTTTAGGTCTCAGCACTGACATCGCCTCCTTCCAGTAGCCCCCCATGCCTGGCATACAGCAGATGCTCAATAAATACTGGTGGAATGAATGTATGAATGAATGAGTCAGGAAAAGGGAGAGAACAGGCTTACAGGACAGATGAGGGGGTCTGTAGGCCACAGGGAGGGGTATGTTTCCCTCACAGGGCAATTGGGAGCCACAGCAGGCTTTAAGCAGAGGAGAAGCATGATGGGAAATTCCTCTTACAGGGGCACCTTTTGTGACATGGGCCCTTAACAGTGTAAGTTTGTAAATGCATACACATACAATAAAACACCTCGATGATAAAGGAAATCCATTACAAACCCATTACTTTGGGATACAGTTATCAAAATATGTTTTAATTTTGATGAAATTTGTGTATCTTTCTAAACACACTAAATAGCGAGGCCGAGTGGCAGATCTAGTGACTGTTTCATCATAGAAGCAGAATGAATGTGAGTGATGAGAGTTTTTCTCCTCCAAATTCACAGACCCTCCTGACTTCTATTTGAAGACCTGTTGGGTGTCTGAAGACTCTGATGAAGACTCCCAGGACTTTGGGATGTGGTGAGAGCAAAACTAGACAGAGGCGTCACCGAGGGGGATAAGGAGTGATTTCCAGGGACAGTGGATCAGCATCCAGACAGACAAGCTTCCGGTGGCTGGGCCATCTGTTCAAAGACAAACAGGAAGCCTGTGGCCTGCCCCTCTGGCCTCTCTGGGCCCAGCCTTTGTTTCTGTGATTTAAACTCCCAAAGGCAGGACACCCCATTCGGTTTCGGGCTTCCTTCCCCCGCTCCAGAAGTAGCAGAAAAAACAATCTGACAAGGCAGCATCTCCCCAGGTTCTGTGCTCAGAGTCCCCTTGGTTCTGTGTTTTCATGACAACACCTCTTGAGCCCCCATCACAGCCCCAGCAAGCCAGCTCAGAGCGTACCATCCACATTTCACAGATGAGGAAACTGGAGCCCAGCATGGCCCCAGGTCACCCAGCCTGGCTGTGGCCAAGCCAGGACTGGAATCCAGGTCTCTTTGGACTCCAGGTCTTGCTTGTGACCGTTCCTACTCTGAGCTCACCACTGACAGCAAGACATCCATTCGTTCATTTATTCATTCATCAAGTGATTTGCCAAGTTGCCAAAATGCATCTGAAGAATCAGGGGAGTGGTTTCCCCTAACACAATGGATGACCCAGTTCAAGTCCTATGACTCCAATGTTTGATTTTAGGCCAATGGCTGCTCCTCTCTCAGCCTCAGTTTCCCACACCTGTAGGTCGATGACCAGGGATGATGACACCGCCTCTGGGGTTAGTTGGAGCCTGCCGACCGTCAGGAGACACTTACTGAATAGGCATCCCTTGCACCTTTCTCCCCGCCACCTCACCTCACCTGCTTCCTCCCCACACTCACCTCTCCTTGTGGTGAGAAGTTCGCTGCCTGTGGGCAGGAAAGCTGGGGGCAGGGCAAGAGTCCTGGGCTGGGTGGTCTTGTTATTCCCACCACAAGCTCCAGGGGGCAGTGGGCACCCACATTTAGTCCCCCCACTACCACCACCACCACCACCTGCTGCCCGCACCCCTGTTTGGGAAGCGAGGAGTTGATCACTCTGCCACCAGGCCGGGTCCTCCCACCACCCTGATGGCGGAAACGGGAGGCACCAGGGGACAGGGAGGCATCAGGGTCCTCTGGCCACTAGATCCCTGTCCCATTCTGCCTCATTCATTCTTTCTCGAGCACCTATCACAGTCCTCTGCTGGGTGCTGGGGACACAGCGGTGACAGAAAAATTCTTGCTCTGATAAAACTGACATTCAAGTGGGGAAACGGACAACATGGAACCACACAGTTTCAACCGAGGGTGGTTAGGGCTGTGTTGGAAAACCCAGGGCCCAGTGGGAGGGGGCCCGGAGGAGGTATGGGCCCGGCCTGGGCAGGAGAGGCGATCCAGGAAGAGGAGTTCATTCATGTAACGAATCGAGGGGATGTCTACAGCCATGCTACCCTGAACAAGCCTGATCCCGTCTGATCTCGGAAGATAAGCAGGGTCGGGCCTGGTTAGTACTTGGATGGGAAACCACCTAGGAAGACCAGATGCTGTAGGTGTAAAAAATTAAAAAATAAGTGATCGTACGCTGACAAGTTCCTTGCAATCTGTGAGGTCAATCAAGGGTTGCCTTGCCTAAAAAAAAAA